CATCCATTAAATTTTATTTTACTTACTCTTTTATTTGATCTTCATTCTTGTTGTTTATTATGTCTTGTAACTTCCCCAATTGTAACATTAAAGGCGAGTCAGATCGCTATGCTTCATGCTGGCTTTGTGATGGGCTTGCTTATTAAATGTGCTGGACTGACAGGTAGAATCTTAGATTCTATTCTCGACTGTAAGGGATTGCGTTGGTCCTGTTTAAATTGTAGATCTATTGAAATCGATCTATTTAAAGTTTATAGGAAGACACGCAATGGCTTTAACGAAATCGGTCGAGATCTTGTAACCCTCACTGGAAAATTTAGGCACTACGAAAAATTGTTCAAATCTTTTAAGTGTCTGAATGATTCTCATGAATCCTCCAAACCTGCTCCTAAGAGTAAACGTCCTCTTCTCTCTTCTCCTTGCCCTCAAGGTGATAAGCCGTCAACTCCAAAGAGCTCAATTCCCAAAGCTCTATCTAATAGTAATAAGTGTCTCACAATTCCAGAGGCTCCCCTATTAACTTAGTAGCATCAGTTAATAATTTGATAGTTATTCCACCTAAAAGTCTATATTTATTTCGAGACTTGCCAAAGATATCTTGGTGGAGGACATTAAATCTTACATTTCGTCACGTTTAAAAATCGATGATATCAATATACGTAAATTTAACTTCAATTATTATTAAACTTAAATAGTGCTACTTCGATGGCAAATAATGCAGATTCAATAATCGTATTTAGAGATTCAATTTACCGTGTGCTTCGTGGAAAGCTTCGATGACTATATCGTACCGATTTGCAATCGTCATGTTTTCATGAGTTTTCGAAAAATGTCCGAGTTGGGTCTGAACCAAAATTAATTTGATTCCGAATAAATTTGGTAAATGCTTAGATTTAGTATACCTCTTCAAAGTGTTCCGTTATTCAGAGTAATCCTCTTGTTCTACCAGAGGATTCGTATCATCCTGCTTTGGAAATATCTCTCGAAATCATGACCAATGTACGCGATAATAATTATCAAACTTCGTGCTTCCGTACTCGGTTCAACTTTGCAAAAGCTAATTTTAAAAAGTTCAATGCAGAACTGTGTCTCTCATTTTAATAACGAAATTATTTGAAAAGTATGTTCCAATAGTAATTGTTAATAAAAGTAAAAGTAGAAGTCCGTGGTCATCGAAAGAGTTAGATAAATTGAAAAACAGAAAAACTCGAGCCTTTAAACATTAAAAAAAACAATCGGTTCACTTGTCGACTATTCTAAATATTCCGTATTGCGTCGACAATATTTTAACCTAAACAAAAAATGTTATAATAATTACTTAAATAAAGTAAAAAAGAATGTTGTAAGTAATCCAAAATCGTTTTATGATTTCGTCAACTCCAAACGCAGGATTTCCAAATTTCCGTCCGCTATGAAATACAAATCTATCATTTCAACTGACAATGTTATTATATCCAATACGTTTGCAAAATTTTTTAAGTCGAACTACTGTAATAATTCTTCCAAGACTTTATCTTATCAGCAAGTGCTGTGTTCGAATACTTTAATTAACGCTTCAATTATTTCTGAAAAAGACGTCCTACTTAAATTAAATAAGTTAAAACCATCTTTTAGTTACGGCCCAGACATGATACCCTCATGCTTCCTAAACAATAGTGCAAATATATTTACTTGCCTTTGACAAGGATATTTAATTCCTCTCTTAAACACGGTATATATCCTTCAATATGGACAGTCATTTATAATTCCTTTGCATAAAAGTGGATTTAGATCCAACATTGAAAACTATAGAGGTATCGCAAAACTATCAGTTATATCTAAGCTTTTTGAAGCTATCATCACTGACCATATAACCTTTTCGATTTCTCCGTTAATTTTCTCATCTCAGCATGGATTTCGTAAAGGGAAATCGACTCTAACAAACTTGCTTTAATTTGTAAACCATGTATCATTGGGTTTTAAGGAACATAAGCATACGGATGTTATATACACAGACTTTAGCAAAGCTTTCGATAAAGTAAACCTCTCGATTCTCATACATAAACTTGATCTACTGGGCTTTCAGCCAAGATTTCTTCAATGGGTAGGTTCCTATCTTTATAATAGAACACAACGAGTGATATTTGCGGATACACCTTCAGATACAATTAATGTTTCTTCAGGTGTTCCGCAAGGTAGTCATCTTGGCCTGATTCTGTTCTTGTTGTTTATTAACGATATCTCTTCAGTAATTGAATTCTCAAAAATTTTATTATACGCTTACGACGTAAAGCTTTTTAAATCATACACTTCAACTGAGGAAAGGTGTCTGTCATGGTGTGATAGAAATGATTTGCCATTGAGTCTGAATAAATGTAAGACGATGTGCTTTTCCTGTAGATCTGTGCACCCCTCTTCTTATGTAATAAAACACCATATTCTGGATCCGGTTTTTAACTATGTTGATTTGGGAGTTAATATGGACCCTAAGCTTAATTTTAGTCTTCATATTGACACCATGGTCTTGAAAGCAAAAGCTGTCCTCAGTTTTGTTAAGCGTTGATCTAATGAATTTAGAGATCCGTATATTACTAAAACACTTTATACAACTTTGGTTAGACCTACATTGGAATATGGCTCTGTTGTATAGAACCCTAACTACCAAATCCATTCTGACACGTTAGAGTTTTTACTTTTCGCCTTAGCGCATTTCCAAAGAGATTCTTGGGTAAGTCTACCTCCATACACTAGTCGTTTTAAACTTGTTAATCTACCTACACTTTCTAGTCCCTATTCCTATATAGAGAAATGCTTGGCATAATATTCTTAGTGAAAATCTTGAATGGAGCAGTTTGCAGTTCTTTTCTCCTGTATGAAATTAAATTTAATATCCCGATTCGCTTTTCGAGGCAGTTTACACCTTTACTGTTAAAATCATGTAGATCAAATTTTGAACGAAGCGAGACATTCCGCCGTATATGTCATGATTTTAATTCTCATTCCAGCACATTTGACTTATCTGACTCACTTTTCAAAATTAAAAAGACTCTATTGTTTTATCTTAGTGAATGAAAATGTAACAATTTATTATATTGTAACTATAAATTTTAGCTGTTGAAATTTATCTGAGCAGTTTTAGATCTCACTCTCTTGCCTTTTCTGACTCGGCTAATTCCGCACGTATGAGGATTGCGCCCGTCGCGCGGTTGGTCGGGAGGAGGGTAATCGTTGGGTTATTATAGTTTCCCCTTATATAGTCTTTTTGCGCTATTTGTTCATTAGATCTGTAATTTTCATTGTACCGTGATGGTAATATGTTATATTTTTTAATTTATCAAAATGTAAAGTAGTTGGACTTAAAATTCCTATTTTACCAAATGTTATTGTATTTATTAGGTTTTATAGTTCACTATTAATATATTAATTTCTTTTCTTTTTAATTGTTCTGGATAGTATCACCTATAATGTTATTTACGGTATCAGTTAATTCTGTTATTACTTTAAAAATTGCCAAATTTGTAGTAAATTGTGTAATATAATTTATTGTTAGTTTATCTAAAATATTATTAGTTTTTACGAAATCGTCATCATCTGGAGTTCCCGCTATCCATTTCTAAAGTGTTCCTAATTCTTTTATTGCTATTTTTTGTTTTATTTTAATTTCAAAATCTGTTTGTGGATTACCATACAAGTAGTTATCTCTCCCATAATGCATACTGCTATAAAAATCTCCTTTATCTTCTATTATTTTTTTGAAATATATATGTCAAATTTGTGTTGAGAAATATGTCTCAATATTCTTCGTAAATAGAAACGTCTTTATTTTCAATAAGTACGTAGTCTGTCGGGTGTACTCTATGACATCGGCTGTCTCCAAGCAATTTAGTATTCAATAAAGGGGAATGATCATATTGAAACCCAATAAGTAATTGTTATTTTATGCTTTCTTAATGTATAATTCTATTCCTATTATTCATTATTATTTTATTCCCCAATTTTATCTTAACTCTCCTATGATTTTTTTTATAAATAATTTGACCATGCCTATGTTTATATCTGTTCTTTAAAGTTTTAAGTAAACTTTAATGGTTAACATTATTCGTAACAGAATGTACCGTAAAATTGTATTATTGAGGGGCTCTTATTGTTGTTACTAATTCAAATAGCATGGTATGAAGGGTTAATTTGTTACAATTTCGACATAAGGTTTATACGTGTAAATTTTCTAATGTAATGAAAAATAATTAATAATTTGCGTCAATGACATTTTAGATTGTTTTACTATTTGATTACTAACGATTATTACTAACGATACTAAAAAATGTATTATTTTTGTTATATGTAACTCGAATAGCTTAGGACAAAGCGTTATCTTAATTTAATGCAGATTTTATTTTTTTGTTGTTGTTGTAAATATTCTATTTATATATAAAAATTTATGTTACTGTTAGACATTTAAGGAAAATTAAAATACTCATCTGAGACTACTTTTAAAAACTTTTTTTCCGTATTAAAATCGTAGTACCTAAATCTCCTTCAATCGTTTTTTGAAAAAAAATTTTACTAAATTTATTTCCCAATTTTTTGGTTCTTTTCAAGAAAACCTTTTCTATAGGCTCATACGTTTTCATTGCTTTATTTTGATTATACCGCTCTAGGGTACGTTTTCTGCGTTTTAACCAATCTTTCGTGGACTTCAAATAGTTTTTTAGGTGAACAGTTATAAAAAAATATCAATGGGCCTGGTATTTGTTGTAGAGTGTGTGGTATGGTTGTATTTATGTGTCGCTAAAAGAAGAAGATCTAAAGTTTTATTCAGCTCTTGCTGTTCTGTAATGCAACGGGACATCTCCGTAAGAGTTGAGTGAAACCTTTCGATTTACCCGTTGGTTCCACTATACAATGTTGGTCCAAAATTGCGTAATCGAAAAATTATCTCTTAAGATAGTTTTTATTAATTTGAATTGAAAAGCCTTTTTATTATCTGAAACCATTACCTTTGTGTTTTGTAATATTTACAGCATTTCCAGGATATTTGGGAATTGGTGTTTTTCCTATTGCTAAATTTATTGGTTTACGCAGTACTATACATGGGCCAATAATAAGTTCACAAGAAGGAAGCGTGGTGAGGATGTAGTTGGACATCCAGGCATAAAAAAGATGCAGCTTTAGGTAGAGTCTACGGTGTCCATCCTTCTCAATCCGAGTGTTTCTATCTTAGGATGTTGCTACGTCACGTACGGGGCCTAACCTTATTCCAGTACTTAAAAACCTTTGACGGAGTTCTCAAAGAAACATATCAAGCTACTTGCCGTGCTAGAGGTTTGCTAGAAAACGATGACCATTGGGAAAATACTCTCAGAGAAGCTTTGCTTTCTCAATGTTTACAACAGAGAATTATTTGTAGTCATACTTTCATTTTGTCAGCCATCGGAACAATTAAAATTATGGGACATTTTTAAAGACGATTTATGTGAAGATATTAGACACAGAATCCGACAGCAAAATCTTAACTTCACGTTACCATACAATGCGGAAATTTACAACCAAGGTTTCATACAAATAGAAAATAAACTGATGCAATTAAGTGACAAAAGCCTAAGTGACTATGGATTACCATGTTCAGTTCGTACAGAAAATAATGGAGCAGAGACAATAACTAATCACTATGATACAAATAATTTGACCGCTTTTGTAAATGAAAACCTGCCAAAATTAGTCCCTGATCAAAAATATGCTTTTCAAACTATCATCGATAGCGTCATTAATGACAAAAGAAAAGTTTTCTTTTTGGATGCACCCGGTGGAACAGGAAAGACGTTTCTTGCTAATTTGATACTTGCTAAGATAAGAGAATCGGGAAAGATAGCAATACCAGTTGCTTCCTCAGGAATTGCTGCAACTCTCTTGACAGATGGAAAAACAGCCCATTCTACTTTTAAACTTCCGCGATCCGTAAATCTAGAGCAACAATCTACATGTTCTATCCGCAAAAATGGGCCTCTTGGTAAATTACTACAAGACGCCTCATTGATTATGTGGGACGAATGCACGATGAGCCATAGAGCACATATAGAGGCCGTGAACAGAACTTTACAGGATCTAAGGAACTCCTCTGCAGTCATGGGCGGGATTACTTTTGTTTTTGCGGGAGATTTCCGACAAACTCTCCCCGTTATGAACAGAGGTACGCGAGCAGATATCATCAAGGCATGCTTGAAATTGTCACCATTATGGGCTTCAATTGAAACATTAAAATTACGAACGAATATGAGAGCTCATGTTCATAGAATCACTGATAGCGATTTTCCATAACAACTAATAAAACTTGGAGAAGGAATCTTTTCCACTCCAAATTTAAGCGGTGATTGTGACATTCTTCTGGATGAGTCTCTAGGTCAAATACTCCATAATTTAGAAAACTTAATAGGCGCTATTTACCCTGATATCGACAATTTGCATGAGAAAGATTTTCATTGGCTATGTTCTAGGGCTATAGTGTCACCTAAGAATGATACTGTTAATGAAATAAACAATCTAATAGTTAAAAAAGTCCCCGGCCAAATAAAAACATACAAATCGATCGACACTGGGACTAATATCGAAGACGCAGTCCATTATCCACAGGAATTTTTAAATTCGTTGAACCCTTCTGGACTGCCACCACATGCGTTGTCGTTAAAAATCGGAATCCCAATAATGCTTTTAAGAAATTTAAGCCCTCCGAACATGTGTAATGGGACGAGGCTGCTTATTAAAGAGTTAAAGGACAATTTAATTGTAGCAACTATTATCACTGGCCCAGCAGCTGGTCAACTGGCTCATATACCGAGGATACCGATGATCCCGACTGATCTGCCAATCCCATTTAAACGGCTTCAATTTCCGGTAAAAACATCTTTCGCATTAACAATTAACAAGTCCCAAGGCCAAACCTTTGAATTGGTAGGGATCGTTCTGCGAAAGAAATGTTTTACTCATGGTCAACTGTATGTTGGACTATCGCGGGTCAGAGCCCCTTGAAAACAGTTTATTTTGTTGCCACAAAATAAAACAACATCAAATATTGCTTACAGGGAAGCTCTATCACAATAAAGACTTTTCTTTTGACGTTATGACCTCTTTGCAATAATTAAAAATATAAACAAAAAAAACCTGAAATTGAGCAAAAAAAAATGTTTGTATTAAACAAAAAAATTAAAACGCAAAAAAATATAAAAAACACTAATAATAAACAATACACAAAACAATGAAAAAAATACAAAAACAATAAATTATATCTAAGAATTAAATTTCCCATTTTGTTTAAATTCGACGCGAAAAATTGAGAATATGTGTTTCATGTTTAGTACCCGTGCGAAGCCGGGACGGGCCGCTAGTCTATTTATAAAACTAACAGCTATAACTTTGGAAATTAAAAATTTTCTTGACTTCAAGTCAAAACATTGTATAATAATGCCATATTACTACTTTTGTAAAATAACATGATTTACTAGCAAAAAAAAAAAATTGCTGAAAATTCTCATTTTTCGTGCCTCTGACTACCCCGAACCCCTTAAGGGCTCCTTGAATTTCATCAAAGTCTTCCACAGTACAGTGAATCGCAGTCACTCACCATGGAACATATATTCCTTTTATGTTTGAAAGTTCTGATTACCTCATGAATCTTGAACCGGTTTTTGCATAAAAAGATTTGCTGTTTAAACTGATTTACAGGTTTTTGTGTTTTTAGTATTTAAATACTACATTCTGAGCAGAGTCTTGTGTATAATCATTCTGACGCGAGAGGGCGTCCGCAACAACATTGGTGAGGGATAAAGGGATGCCCAACTTATTCCAGTGTGAGAGCGCCTCAAAATTAGCGTTTTTTAATAACAGTTTCCATTGTAGCCAGACCGGACAATATAATAATTTTTGGCAATTTAAATTAAAATAAACAACATGTATGTAACTATTTAGGCCCTTTTTTATGATTTTATAATATATTAAAAAAGTTGAATTTTGAACTTTCAATACTTAAGAATAAGAACAAATGTATTATATTAGCTCTCAATTAATAAATTTTTTTTTTTTATAATTTTCAATTGAAAATTAATATAACTAAGCATGGCATCACAAAAGATTCCTCATCACATTCATTTCACTTTTGGGTTTTTTTCAGTTTCATTGTTTTTCAATTTTTGTTAGTGATCTTCAACAGCAACAACAAAACTCTCTGTTCCCATATTTTTTTGTAGGATTTAAATCTGGCCTGCCACGTTAGACCTCCTGAACTTTGATAGTTGCCTGTATGTTGATTTGTCGGTATTTTGGTTTGTCGATATTTAGATTTGTCGGTATTTTGACTGTCGGATTTTTAAATTTCGAGATTTTGATTGTCGGAATTATATTATACACTCGATCCGATTCTTAATATATGATAATATTAAAAAATAGAACCATTTACGGATTTTACATGTTTGTAAGTGGCCAACTCGTTCTTGTTATTATACATCCTTGGCTTGATGTGTCGTATAGTTTGATATAGAGCAATTCCTCCGCTCTACTTATACAAAATGGCTCTCATTCATGTTGTTTATTATTTGAGTTTTTCCTGCGGACGGAAGCTATAATTGCTTTCTCTTGGCCGCTTTACTCCTTGACTGTTTTGGACTTGTGTATTATTATTTTGATGTACCTTATTGGCTTGAGTGCTTGTGCTGGCCATATGTGATCCAACTCTAAAACCATAATTTTATTGAGCCTAAGGATTCAAGTCTCTCCTATAGTTTCTAGACACAGATGGTTCTATGTCCATAGGTTCTGATATTGGATAAGTTTTTCTTTTGTGAAAATCGTAAACTACTACTTAGATAACTTTTTTTACGTTTCCAAAATTTTGAGCAAACCGAGCTCTTTTATTTGTGTATCTGCCAAATCTTGCGGAAAAAAGAAAAATAGAATGTCCCTAAATGAAGCCTTAAGTCCTGTTATAAATATACAAAAGGCGTGATCCCTATTCTTTCTATTAAGTTCTTTTGTAATTGGCGTTGTACCCCCATGGGTAACTATGGTTTTATTTATCAATAATGTTGATTTTGACAAGATTTCAAAACTCAACGACGGACATAGAGCCTTGTCGTAGAACGCTCAGTTTTGCGCTAAAAGATGTATTGGATGTTTGTCCGAATATGCAAAGTCAAGACATTCAATTATTGAGTCGATTTAATATAGTACCGTGGTTGGTTAATGTAACATTTGCATCAATTGTAATTTTGTTATGCAATATTGTAAGAGTTGTGAAGTATTTCCTACTTTCTCTTACGTAAAAGCTCATATAATTATGAGCTGCTTTCCACCAAGGGGAATTTTTTTTTCCTGGGAATACTAGCATTCATTTAATAATATCTAATGATTCTTGACTCTATATATTGTCATTAATCGTTTCTGCTACATAATCTGTAGCCCTATGAGTTTCTATGTCTGTTTGTGCTTTCAATATTTCTATTTCTTGCCTAAGTTAAATCTTACTTTCCGCAATTAGTTGCACTGAACTCCTCAACATGTCGTTTTCTTCCTTTATCATGCCAACGATATCTTTTAGAAGGTTAATTAGCATGTGCCCCACGTTGGGCGGCAAATAATTTCCTCGATAAGTGGATATTAAAAAAAATATATTACATAAGTTAATTTTTTTTTTCGCGGAGAAGATTAAAAAATAAACAACAAATTTGGCTCTAAGGGTTTTACAACCTTTTTTTTATCAAAACCAAATAGCAACTCACAACTTATGCTGCTGCTGGAAGTGCATCTGCCAGAGAGTGGCCTGCATTTAGCATTCAGGACCCGTCGTCTCTCCGCATACCTATTGAGGTTAGTGGAGGTGCAACTGCCAAATAAAGAGGAGCTAACCAAGGAGTTCCAAGCATCGATTGACTGCGCGAGAGCAGTCATGCCCAATTTGAAGCTGGAGCCTCCAGTAAAGGCAGCAAAGCGACAGAGGTGAGCTGAAGAGGTCAAGCCGTCAGCAAAACGACCGAAAACAAAGGGCGTGACGCAAACAAAATCATTTGCAGAAGTGGCCCGGAACCATTGGCATTCTGTCTGAGAGGGACCCCGAAGAAACAATCCCCAGAGCCCAATGGAAATGGGTGCAGATTGCGCTGACAAGTGTGGAAGTGCTACTCAGCAATCCAGGTCCGCCACCGTCATGCACAGAAGCCGGCTGGTACCAGAGCCAGATTAAAATTATTGCACTATACAAAGCTGTTATAGTCAAAGTAGGGGAGGCATACCCCGGCGCAAAACTGGTGGCAGTAGATAAAACAGACATACCATCCAGACCACGAGCAAGGGTATAGATCCCAGCTACACCATCACAGCCGGATCAGATTATGCAGCTCATAAGAGCCTGCCCCCCGAGTCTGCCCACGGCGGGGTGGAAGTTCGTCAAGGCATTTGACGATAGTGTATCAGAATCCTTCGTGGAGACCAAAAGGGCCACGATGCAGATTCTGCTATTACTAACAAAATAATTCATCGAACTGCTGGCGAAAAGTGGCGGGGAGATAAAATACGGATTCACGAAAGTATGAATTACACCGTAGAAGTCGGACGCCGATGCTGCAGACCATCTAGCATCGGAAATCAAAACATACGAAGTAGAGGAAGATCCTATGGAGTCCTCGAGCGATATGGAAAGTATAGAGCAATGTGAGTGCTCTTCCGGATCTGAGCTTGCTGCCACACTCTCATACTTGTATACTCAGAGAGAGCTTTTAAGCGAGTCTCAGGAAGACGCAGATACAACATTAGTTAATGCGTCTTCTGCAAATTAACCTTCATTACAGCAAACTAGCTTCAGCAGCCCTAATTAACCGCGTGGCAATAGAACAGCCTGAGTTTGTCCTTATTCAGTAGCCATGGGTTAATGGAGGGCGTATTTGCGGACTGAGGACACCAAGCTATATATATATTATTTATGGCTAATTGTCAAGATAAAATCAGAGCCTGCATAATGTCAAAGAAAAACCTTGACGTTTTTATATTACGTCATTACAGCAACAACGGCATAGCAACAGTAAGCTGGGAAATGAGCACATGCAGTTATCGGCTGGTGTCTTGCTACATGCCATGCGAGAATGAGCTGATGCCATCTGATGGTAAAAGAGGTGGTACGGGATAGCGAGGTGCTACGCGATAGAAGAGTACATGATTATACTTGAATGCACAGATGTCAACAACAGAGGTGAGCATCTCTTTAATTACCTACTAGGGACTAAGCTACTGCTGTGTAATAAGGGAAGTACACCCACGTTTATCACAAGAAACCGACAAGAAGTACTTGATATCACGCTTGTGTCGGAAGAACTATTTGACAGGGTAACCCAATGGAGAGTCCTGGAAGAACTATCCTTTTCGGATCACCGATATATTGAATGTATATTAGAAGAAAGGGCCGATAGAGGCACTGACTTCAGAAATCATAGGAAAACGAACTGGCAACTGACATCCTCGTTGTTCGATTCACTGAATATTTTCGCCAAGCATTAGAAGTGGCTTGTCCAATAACACGAAGTAGGAATAGAATTAGGCCCCCTGGTGGTTCCCGAACTTCATAAGTTACAGAAAGAATGCAGAAAGCTGTTCAATTTAGCCAAGCAATCCAAAGGCGAGTCAGACTGGAATTATTATTACGACCACCTTAGGTCATACAAAAAGGAATTTAGGAGAGCAAAAGGAAGTTCTTGGAAATCTTTTTGTAATGATATCGAGAACACAGCGGAAGCGTCTCGACTTAGGAAAATAATGGCACAATCGGTGCATAGTATCGGTTATCTTCAGAAGCCAGACGGCAGTTGGACGGTATCCAGTGAAGAGTCGCTGGGACTACTATTGGATATCCACTTCCCAGGCAGTTCTCAAGACAGTGGAGCAGAAATAGACTCCACTCTTATAAACACAGAGTCAGAAAGCAACGTACAGTGGGCAATAAATGGCCTCAAGCCCAGCAGTCGCAGAATTACCTAATGGATTGGCTAGTTACCATTCTTAAGGGGGTGCTGCAATTAAACTATATCCCTTCGCTTTAGAGGGA